AAAAAAGAATTTATATCCTTCCAGAAAATCTTCCTTAACTTTCATAATATTTTAAATCGCTTTTGCAGGTCATGATATATGACCTTCGGTTAAGGGTATAGCCCGATTTCGAGTATAGTTTACATTTTAACCATATTTTGAATACTCATTTCAGCAAAGGTTGGTAATTTGAGAAGGAACAATCCTCGCAAAAAATGATTACGTTTTGGTATAACCATCAATGATTTAATATTCGTCATAACTTTGATCGTCTTTGAATTATACTATCATGAAAAATATGAACTTTATGGGGTCTCCAATGCACAATTTAAATGACAAAAATAAGTAAATTCCATTCTTACGGTAATGGATGTAGAAGAGTAATTATCTTTGACTATTCTGAAATCATTCTGCCCCTAATTATGAGGTGGACTAAGGTGGAGGTGGACTAATTCCACACAGCACGGTATTCTAAACGTTGTAAATACAAATCCCAAATTACAGCTCATTTGAAGGGAACATTTCGCTAAGCTCTTTACAATACCAAAAATTAAGTTTCAACATGGGATTATTATAGATGTTCTATATCATATAGATTTTTAACACTCAATTAAAGCCTACGTCTGAATAATAAGATCAAGCTATTCAAACTATCTAAAACCGACGGTGGGTGATTATCTTTAATAATTTTTGCCATGAATGTTTATTTCTATTTAGAAATTACTATGGAGTTGTTTTACTTATAATAAAAATGGTCCCGCTCACATAAGTCTATGCTTTATTATGCATTAGAAAATATGCACTAAAGACTAAAAGTACTGGCCGGCAACGCGGACGGGGCCAGCTAGTCTCTTATAAAATAGTTCCTTATTTTCACATGGACATGTTATGGGAAGTAAGTGATCATCGTTCTATTCTGCTAGAATTGAATTTACAAATTGATAAATTTTCAAATATTTTTAGAGCATTAAACTTGAAAATCAGATTTTTCGTCGGTTGAGCTCCCGAAGTGGTTTCAAAGGTATTTCTGGCTACTTCGGTGCCCTACGTCACTATAACTTGAGGGTACGTTTTTGTTCATCTGAAACCATTGTGACCCTCAGAATATTGGAATACATAATTGTATTTCTTAAAACATAATTTCAAATATAGGCGATCATTCCACAATTTTTGATTGTTAGGGATTTTAAATGAAGTGTTAATTTCCAATTTAAAGGTCGGAAGTTCGACAATCCTCTGAAGTCTAAGCCAATATTTTCCTAGAAGATCGCTTCCATATTTCGTGGCAATTAACTTATATTTACGCTCTCTGACGTACACAGCATGATATTTAAAGAAGTAATTAAGGGCTATTGCTGGACAGGGCCGACCATGTAATACCTAACTCCGCTTATAATTTACGATATATGTTCGTAAATCTTATACCCGTTTGACCAGAATAAACAAACCCCTCTACATATTGAGATGAGATTCCATTTTAAGGTCATTGTTCTCATTAGTACGCTCCTTAGTTCGAACAATTCTAATAGATATAACGCCAATATATTTCAGAAAACAACTTTCGCAATAAACTAGAAAGCAAAGGCTTGCGGGACCGACCATGTGATAACCTACAGCACTATAATGTATATATATCTTAAAAAAGAGGAAAATGTTTGTATGATGGTTTGTTTGTAATTTATGGACTCGAAAACTGCTGAACAGTTTTCCCTGAAAATTACCAAGTGTAATAGAACATCGCCTGAAAGTAACATAGGTTATGAAAATGATTGAAATTCCACTTGGAACTGGAATTCGGAAGTACCTCCCAAAAATTTAGATCTTATGTGCACACATCTATTGATCGATCGCAGATACACTCTCCATTTGGATTTGAAACAAAAATAAATTAGCCAAATTATATTGAAATCGATTCAGATTTGGATATAACTACCATATATATTTTCGGCCAATTTCATGTATTTGATGCATTAAACACGCTGTATACGCCACATTTCAATGACATTTGGAATGTGTGATGGAATTTGTCTGAAAATGTGTTTGCCAAATTATATTAAAATCGGTTCAGATTTGGATATAGCTCAAATATATATTCTTTGCCGTTTCACATATTTGATGCACAAAACACGCTATATATTTGCATATATATTTTCGACCGATTTTACATATTTGATGCACCCAACGCGAAATGTACGTCCGATTCCAATAAAATGGGGACATGAGACGAAATTTGGTACCAATCCAAAGACGAAATGAAAGTCGGATTCCAATCAAATTCGAACAGAGAGACGAAATTTGGTACCAAAAAAAATTTGCCAAATTATATTGAAATTGGTTGAGGTTTAGGTATATATATATATATATATTTTGGCCGATCTCATGTATGTTATGCACCAAACTCGATATGTATATCCGATTCCAGTGCATTTGAATTGAACAAATTAATTTGAAATCGGTTGAGTTTGGATATAGCTCCCATATATATTCTCTGCCGATTTCACATATTTGATGCACCAAACACGTTATGTACCTCAAATTTCAATAAAATATGGAAGGTGTGACGGAATTTTGTGTAAAAGTAAATTTTGTCGAATTATATTGAAATCGTTTCAGATTGGGATATGATTTTATTAAAAAGCATTGAACCACAACGCGTTTGCAATGATATTAGGCTAACAGTAAACAAGTTAAAAAGCAGTAAGTTCGGGCCGAATTTTTAATACCCTCCACCATTTGCAACGAATTTGAAAATTTTCAAAAACTAAAATCCTTAAAAAATTCTGTTAAAATTTTAAAAATACCGAATATAGCCGTTATATTGGTGTCTATACGACGTGGACAGACATAGGCATTGTTTGTCATAAGCCATTACCATATTCAAATTCGAAACTTGAAATAAACGGTAGCTAAAATCATCAAAATATCGTATATAAGGAGGTGCCGTTAAATTGGAGCTGTGCGAAGACCTGGACCAGCATAGACAAATTTCTGTCACAGGCTGTAGCATCCATTACGAACTTCAAATACCACATCTCAAACAATTTCGGTGGGTATTGTACCAAAAATCGTCAAAATACCGAATATAGGGAGGTACTGATATATGGGGCCTATACGAAGACCTGGATCCGCACAGACAATTTTCTGTCACAGACTAAAGTTCCCATAAAGAACTTCAAATACCAATTTTGAAACAATTCCGGTGAATAATGTCGCTAAAATCATCAAAATACCGAATATAGAGAGGTACCGTTATATGGGGGCTATACGAAGACATGGATCTGCAGAGACAATTTTTTGTCTTAGGGTGTAGTATCTATTTTGAACTTCAAGTACCAAATTTGAAACAATTCCCGTGAATAATGTCGTTAAAATCATCAAAATACCGAATATCGGGAGGTACCGTTATATGGGGGCTATACGAAGACATGGACTTGGACAGACAATTTTCTATCTTAGACTGTAGTATTCATTACGAACTTCAAATACCAATTTTGAAACAATTCCGGTGAAAAATGTCGCTAAAATCAACAAAATACCGAATATAGGGAGGTACCGTTATATGGGGGCTATACAAAGACGTGGACCTGCACAGACAATTTTCTGTCTTTGAACTTCAAATACCAAATTTGAAACAATTCCCGTGAATAATGTCGCTAAAATCATCAAAATACCGAATATCGGGAGGTACCGTCATATGGGGGCTATACGAAGACGTGGACCTGCACAGACAATTTTCTGTCTTAGGGTGTAGTATCCATTTTGAATTTCAAATACCAAATGTTAAATTACTTCCAGGAAAAAGGTCGCTAAAATCATTAAAATACCGAATATCGGGAGGTACCGTTATATGGGGGCTATACGAAGACGTGGACCTACATTGCCTATTTACGAACTTAACCTGCCTACTGGAAAAATAAACATGTGTGCAAAATTTTAGCCATCTATCTCAATTCATTCGAAAGATAGCGTGATTACAAAAGACAGACGGACAGACAGACGGACATCACTAAATCGACTTAGAATTTTACGCTGATCAAGAATATACATACTTTGTTGGGTCTGACATGAGTATTTCGTGGAGTTACATACGGAATGACAAAGTTAATATACCCTCCATAGTATGGTGGAGGTTATAAAAACTACACAACAATTTAATTGAGGATACGATTATTACGGGGAAGTATGTTATACCTCGAATTAGATAATTGGAACAGAAATGCCACTCAACTTCAAAATATTGCAGTTTCCTGCACGCTTGGCAATTGCTTTGCAATTAATCAGTCCAAAGGCAGACCATTCGTCAGTCCAAAGGCAGCCATTTCTTTATTTACGCACTAGAGTATTACAATAATTACTTTTTTTAATTTTTGAATTCGTCGGAAACCCCTGAGAGTATGTATTCAAAGTCGATTTGACAATGACCTTCCCACAGTGCATTGTCTGTTAAATCTACAATAATGGTATGCAATTTGGCATAGGCGTTTATGGTACTCCTAAGATATTTAGTACGTTATAATGGGAAATGGTGCCTCCTGTATTTAAGTATTTTTATGGTTTCAATCGAATCGTCCCTGTTAGGTCTGTTCAATACAGATCCATTATTTGATATTCGATATTTCGAAGGATTCAGACTAATTGGCTGAAGTTTGACATTTTTGTTTTTATTGGATGTTGATCTTGGCATCATATACATCTTGGCCCCGTATATGAGCAATGAATGATTTGATATATTTTGATCCTGGTCAAAATACCAAAATTTGGCTTTTTGACACTCCCCGACAAACGAACTATTAAGGTAGATTTTAATTTAAAAACCTATAGAACTCTATATATGGTTTACTTTCTGGTACTTATATCTTCTATCTACTTTAACAATCTGCTGGATTTTTCCTGTAATTATTAAAAAAATTGAATTTTGTCGCACAGTTTAATATGTTTAAATACTGCGCCCACTTGTATCCTTTCCACCGCTGGTTGTCGTTAAAATACCGTTTGTAATAATTTACAAGAATTTTCTCACATTTCCATTTTTGTAACAACTTTTTTATTCGTAAAACTAATTATAAATATTAAATAACTTAGATAATCTACTGTTTCACAACACAATTCGTTTAGCCGTAGAAACCGCCATAGTATCCACCATAAGGACGGCCGTAGAAACCGCCATAGGGACGACCGTAAAAACCACCATAGGGACGACCATAGAAACCGCCATAGGGGCGTCCATAAAATCCGCCATAAGGACGTCCGAAGAATTGACGGACCTGTCTGGTATTTTCATCGGCACTGGCAACACCGGCATCTACATCCAATAAATCGGCAACGGCTTTGTCACTATCCACTTGTTCGATGACAGCAGACCAGGCGAGGGCCAAGAAGCAAGCCAAAACAGCCAATACTACGAAAGCGCGCATTTTGTTGTTGGTTTTTTTTTTACAAATAAAATATTAAAATATTTTTTGTTTGAAGTCGGATTTTAAGAAAGTGCGTTCTTAACACGAACCCTTAACGTTTGCGTTTGATGAGCTGCTCAGCATCGCGTGTTACTTTTATACCAGGCGAGGGAAATGTGAGAAATTCTATTCGGCGTTTTGTTTTCTTTTTTTTTTTTTTTTTCTTTAGCTTTTTTTGTTTCTTTTGTTTACGGCTGCAGCAGCCAGTGAGTGACCACAGCCACAGCACGATCTACAAAGTCAACACAAACAACAACAAAGACAACAAGATCAGTGCTGCTAATAACAAACAAATGAATATCTAATGCGGCTTAAACCATTTCAGCCAAAAAAAAGTAAACAAAAAAAACCAAACAACCAACGATTGATCTGTCGGTTGATAAATTAAATTTCAATTTTGAGTTCTACTAATGCCAATCAGCGAACCAGCCGGTGTCTGGATAGTGTAAAGAAATCTGGTTGTGGTTTTTTTTTTTTTGAACGCTTCATTAGAACCTATCTTAAAATCGACATTTCTTTTGACCGTAGGAGGTTAACGTTGGCAGATAAGTATTTTAAACACACAAAACTAAAAACTAAATTGGCCGTTTTAAATTAAAACAGGCATGTAATTAACATCATACAAATTTGGCAAAAAGTTTTGGTCGAAAAATACCGGTTCAATGTACGCTGAAAATTTGTTGAAGGGCAAAGTCCGTTTTAGTTGTGGAAATTCCGATATTAAAGAAATATTTGTTAGCAGTAAATTATGTTTTGTCGTCATTGTTTAAAGTAAAGATTTGTTTCAAACAACACCAGTTCTAAGCGTTTTACGCACGCTATAATTTTGGGATGTCCATTGTTCTGAAGAAAAAGAGCTAGATTTCAAGTTCTCTTAAACCGTTTCTGGAGGGAACGCCAAAAATATTAATACATTTTTAAACTCAACTACAAACGTAGTAAGTTAGCATACTCCGAACTTTTGATACCCTCCGGCATGAGGAAATGAAAACATTTACATTTTTGTACTATACATTTTTCTTTGGTAAAGCAATTAAATCTCAAAACGATTGTAACATGTCTCTAAATCCAAAAAAAAAATCGAATAGCTGGTTGTATCATACCGAGTGCTTTGGTGCCAGATTTCGTCTCTCTCGCTTTGGGTGCATCAAATATGTGAAATCGGCCGAGCATATATATGGGAGCTATAATCAAATCTGCGCGAATTTGAATATAATTCGTCAAATTAATTTTTGTACTAAATTTAGTCACTCATGCCGAATTTCATTGGAATCGGAAATACGTATCGTGTTTTGTGAATCAAATATGTGAAATCGGCGGAAAATATATATGGGAGCTATATCCAAATCTGAACCGATTTTAATATAATTTGACTAATTTATTTTCTAATCAAAATCCCGTCACACATTCCCAATTTCATTGGAATCGAACATACATATCGTGTTTGGTGCATCAAATAAACGAAATCGGTTGAAGATATATATTGGAGCTATATCCAAATGTGAACCGATTTCAATATAATTTGGGAAATCAGTTTTTTAGACAAAATCCATCACATGCTTCAAATTTCATTGAAATTTGGGATACATAGCGTGTTTGGTGCAAAAAATGCTTCAAATCGGCCGAAAATATATATGGGAGCTATATGCAAATCTGAATCGATTTCAATATAATTTGACAAATTTATTTTTGTTCCAAATTCCATTACGCATTCCAAATTTGGAGATTGTATCTGGAATCGATCAATAGATATGTACATACAAAATCTAAATTTTTGGGAGGTATCTCCGATTCTGATGCTATATCTCCACTTCCAAGTGGAATTTCAAAAATGTATGTAGCCTATGTTACTTTCAGGCGATGTTGCAGTATACATGTAAATTTTAAGGAAAATCAGTTCAGCGGCTTTCGCGTCCATAAATTACAAACAAGCAAACAAACAAACATTTTCCTCTTTTATAGATATAGATACATATGAGGAAATCGATATAGGACATTACAAATAAAAGTAGCTTAGAAAGGAACTTTCAATTATCTTTAAATACCAAAAATACTAAACAAATATTGCTTTCCAAACATACCCTATAGGTTCTAATTAATTATTATTCAAATGAGGTACAAAGGGAATGACAAACTAAATATGGGTTTAAAAACTAGTAAAAAAGCAGCTTAGAATACCCTTCACCATTTGGAAGGAACTTGAAAAATTTCAACAAATTCCGAAAAATACCGTTTAATTTATGAATTTTATATGGAGGCTATAGGAAGACGCCGTCCTGCATAAGAAATTTTGTCAAAGGCTGAAGTACCCACTAAGATCTTCAAATATACAATTTGAAACAATAATGTCGCTATAATCATCAATATGCCGAATATAGTGATGTGCCGTTATATGGGGGCTATACGAAGACGTGGTACCGTTTCAGAAGTTTATTACCATTTTCGAACATTTCGTAACCTTGAAGTTCGAATTCCAAAAACCCTTAGGTACATCTGTCCTGCACTCCATCAGTGACCCTCTCTCTCACTCTCTCTTGTTCCAAATGTCAGAATTCTACCTCATTCCATTTGTCCAATGCAAAGTAAAAAAAATAGTACATATTAGTACTTTTCTTAAACTTTTTATTACGAATTTCCAAAAACCCAGCCTTATCACAACTACGCACTAACACTGATCCTCCTGTAGCTTCAGCCGTTTCGTCTGGTCGTTAATTCTCAATAAATCAGTGAGATATTTCACTACCCTTTCATATACAGGGTGAGATAAAAAAACTGCAACCAACTTCAGAATGCTGTCATTTCTAAGCCACTCGTACGACAGCTGTTGAAATTATTCCAGCGACAGCTCATTATATTGTTTACAAACGTACAAAAGCATTTTGGTGAGAATTTTCCAGAAAAATAGTTATTCGCGATGGAATTCAAGCGTGATTGTGTGATTTCTTTATATTTGGCTGGAAAATCACAAGTGGACATCGTTAGAGCATTCCAACAGTTAAATGTGAATAAGTCTTTTGTGTCTCGTACCATCGCTCGTTACCGTGATACTGGTAGTTTAGCCCGACATCAGCAGAAATGGTTCGAAAAATAAAGAAGCGACTTGATCGCAGAGACTGAAAAATGGCTCGTGAGCTGAAAATATCGCAATACTCTATTCGGCAAAATTTGAAAAATGAGCTCGGGGTAAATCTATTGAAATTCCAAAAAGTGGAAGAACTTACACCGCAACAGAAAGAAAATAGACTCAAAAGAGCTTTCGCTTGGCCGAAAGTGGTGAACTGCCGAATTTGATTTTTTCCGATGAGAAAACATTCGTGGTGCAGCAGTTTGTAAACAAACTAACTGATCGTGTTTACTTGTCAAAGAGGTCAGCTGAAAATTTGCACCTTCAGTTGGCCACCAGAAATCAAGCGTCGACCATGATGATGGTGTTGGCCGCCATAACAGCCGATGTTCGCTTTTCGCTCGTATTAATTGACCGTGGCATCAGAAGAAATGCCGAATATGATCGCGAAAATATTCTGGAAGGTTTTTATATGCCCTAATTAAGCACGCAAACATTTTGGCCGCTGACCTTTGACATTCCAATAGGACTCAGCATCATCGCACTCAGCACGCGCCACCTAAGAATGGTTTCAAAATGAGGTTCTTCGCTTCATTTCCAGTGTACAATGCCCACCAAAATCTCCGGATACCAAACCGTTTGACTATTGTTTCTGGAGTATTTTGAAATGCAAGGTTGGCACTAAAAAATACCAAAGTGTCGATCACCTCAAGCAAGCAAGCACTTCTCACGGGCCAAAATAGAGCAACATTCGGGCAGCGTGTGACGGTTTCATTGGCCGTTTGTGGCAAAGGAGACCAATTTGAACAAATCTAAACTTATTCTAAAATGTGATGCTAATTCCGAGATTTTTTGCTTTCATTTAAGAAAATTTAAACAAAGTTTTTTCATCTTACCCTGTATTTAGAAAAAGGATATATACCATTATACGGGGGCTATTATATTTTAGCCTTCTATCTTAATTAGTTCGGTGGACCGCGTGATTACAATCGAAAGGCAATTAATACCTTGTAAGCCCTTCCGTGAATATGATGACATATATTGAAGTTAGAGGACGCTAATGATATAAAAGTTTTAGACATATTTCGTCCCCAATAACGATTTTATACCATAGTCTAATTAGAAAATCCATTTAGATCTAAAATAAGATGATGTTTGTTATTGTGATTGTAAGTCAAGAACGGCTGTATTGATTTTAACATTTCGCACCTAAGCGGAATGGTCTCTTGGCAAAAAAGAATGAAATTTCCGAATGTTGCAAACGAAATGCCAAAATTAATACAACGAATCGAAGCGAGGTGATTGATATAGTAATTAGATCGGAACCATAATTTAAAAGTGTTAAAATAAAAAAAAAGAATTATAAAAAACTTTCCCATGTGGGGTATAATTAGTCCATTATGTATCATCTTGTGGAATTTACCTAAACCTATACCTATACATTGGTACAGATGTACCTCGTTTACGCTATTTCCAGAACATTTTTATTGAATATATAACACCCAGACCCCTGCTTAATAACACATTTATTCATGAATGGAATTATGTCAACAATACGCAAAAACAAAAAAAAAAAAAAACAAAACAAAAATCGCTTTAGAAAAATTCCATATTAGCAATTCAACACAAACATCTATACTAGCAAATATACGTAAAAAAAAAAGAAAATCAAAAACTAAATCGTTTCTAACAATGTGTCACGAAAAAATAAACAAATAAAAACAAACATCTTTCATGAGAAAAAATCCCCTCGGTTGTCTGTGTTTAAGCTCAACATTCTTTACAAGCATTCTTAAAAATGCCAAATGTTTGAATATTAAGATGGGTCGCAAAAGTATGTTAAAACATTAAAGACCAACAAATTTAAAATCTCAGCAAGTGAAAATCGTATTGTAAGAGTCTTTTGCAAAATATTCCTATAAACATCATTGATTTTACTCATCGTGATAAAGCGATGACCGTCTGTCTGTTTGTCTGTCGATTCGATTTTAATATGGCACAGTGTAATGTTTATGC